CATATAATCAGCCTAGGCTTATTTCAATTACGTACCCCATATACATTTCTGGAGAGTGAAAAATACTTCCCAGGAGCTATAATTTTGTGCAGCTTTTGTTTTTGCGAATCCACCAGAGGCCGCTGTGTATGCTTTTTCAGATCTCAAATTTCTATCAAAGTACCATTTGCGCCTGCTCTTCTCACATAAATTCCCCAGAAGTCACTGGTGACATTTATTGATCCGCCCACCCTCTTCCAAAAACCCAACTGCAGTGTTTTGAAAAGGAAAGCCACCTTATTTTTTGCCATGTTTTCAGATTTTACCACAGTTTCACCGTGCTATTTACTTATTTTGATTTTTGGCTTGTTTGTTTTTGTCTTACCTGCTTTCTGCAACCGTTCCTTACCATACTCGAAACCTGTCGTCGTGGTCAACTCCTCTCTGCATCTCAAGTCTGTCAACGTACGTGTCAAACTACCTGACAAACTGGTAACAGTGAGAAAGCCGTCCACAAGTAAGAGGTCAGCTGGTTAGCAAGGAAAGGAACGGGGTCATAACACCCCACAGCATTCGTTTGAAAGAAAAAATGCGACCATTAATACTTTTGACTACATAATTACATACATACATTCGCGATCTCCAGAAATGTATATTGTGCTACGTTTTCAGAATTAGCCTATGTTGCATATAATCCATTTACAATATGAATAAAAGTTGTTTTCCATTCTGCTAAGAGCTAACAGCCACATGTACTCTAAAATGATTTAGGAGTAACACTTGCTTTGAAATGTGAGACTGAACTTGCTAAATTATAGTTTAAGGAATCACTGTGAAAATTGTGAATATCAAAGCAACATTTGGGGTTTTAATGGTCTATGAAAAAAAACTTGAGCCTCTTGTAAATAACACTAATTGCTTCAGTGGCAAAATTGCTTTTTGATTGTTGAGCAGAGGATTGCATTGAAACTTGTCCCAGTGTGGGCTTGGCAGGCTTGTGTTCCCTTTCCCTTTTAAATTTTTAATTTAAATGTACTTCCACTGATTTTGATAAGTGGTTCCCAAATGACGGTTCCTGTAATGTGCCCATTAGTACTCATTTTGAATCTTTCTCTAGGTTAAAAAGACAATTTTGGATCATTAGGTCCCCTGCTAATGAACTGATGAGTCGAATCAGCCACGTTTTATTAATGAAACATAAAAAATGCGCAGAAAAATATGAGTACTCTAGACCTAGCATTGAAGACCACACAAGTTATAAGACACAGTTGAAACTTCAGACATAGTTGTACATTTTTATAAGGCCCCTTGTGAGTTTCAGCTAATATTTATTAGTAATTAGCAAATTATTACTAATGAATATTATTTTACAATGATTTATATTAAATACCAAATAATAATGAATGGAAAATATGTTTTGGTGTGCTAAAGTATTCACTGAGAAAGCTCATGCCTTCTTTTTCACCGCCCATGCATATTTCAACAAGACAATGCAAAGCCACATTCTATACACGTTCCAAAATCCTGGCTGTGGAGGAAGAGGACACAGGTACTTGACTGGCCTGCCTGCAGTCCCTACCTGTCCCCATAGAAAATGTATGGTGTATTTAAAACATAAAATGTGACAACTACTGCCTACCTTAAAACTTGTTTGCATGAAGAATGGGATAAAATTACACCTGAAACATTTCATCATGTGGTGTATTTAGTCCCTAAAGGTCTTTTAAGAGTTGTGAAAAGGAATGGCTACATTACAATGTGGTAAACTTTGTACTGTTCCAACTTTTTTGAAATGTGTTGCAAGAACCAAAATCACATGTTTATATTTTTAAAAAATGCTTTTATCATGCATGTTTTTTTTCTAATAACTTTGCTTAAGTTGGTGATTTAAAGGCATAGTTCACACTAAAATGAAAATCTACTCACTATTTACTTTGACTCAAGTGGTTTTATATGGGTTTCCTTCTTTATAAGCCATATGCTCTTCCATAAGGAAAACAAATACCATGTAAGGTAATGGTTACAGCCAGGTGTTTGGTTAAAAGAAAAAAAAAAGAAACTCACACAGACAGGTTAGGAACATGAGGGAAAAAAGGCAGATTCTACCCAGTGGCGTAGCGGACGGGCCCGCAGGGCACGCACCGCGGGGGGGCCCCGCGTGATTAGGGGGCCCCGCGTCGTCGCGATTTTCAATAAACTGTTGGGAACAACTGTGGTCGGAACCAAAGTTCACACGTCTGGGTTCTCTGAACACCTCTCAAGCGGTGGACTACTTCATTCTGATTGCTTGCCGCCAATGTTGCCAACTTAGCGACTTTGTCACTAGATTTAGCGACTTTTCAGACCCCCCTAGCGACAAATCTAGCGACTTTTTTGTGTGTTATTGGAGATTTTTTTAGACTGTCATTTTTCCATACCGTACCGTCCCTACTCTTCTCAACGAGCTGCGTGTGATGCCGCCGGCCCCTCCCCCGCCTCACAGCACTGACAGGCGGCCCAGTCAGTCCTCGTACAGCAGCCTCTCCCACCTGCAGCCCGAGAGCAGATCATCCCTCTGCGTACCGACGACAAATGATTTAGCAAAGGCAGTGTGAAGGTATTTCCCTTGTACAGTCAAACCAATCTACTTCTCCTTTATTTTAACAATTTATTTGGACCGTTTATTCTTTTCTTGTTCACAATCACAGATATTTTAGTGACAGTTTCTGAACTTGTCTGAGTGTATTTCATATGAGAGATTACTGCACATTCACTAACGTTACACATCTATAATGATATACTGTATTCAAACAGCAATAAATGTAGTTAAATAAACATGCTTATATAAAGTGTAGTGCAATTATAAATGCCCCTTTATTAACCATATGCTGTTAAACAGAAACGGTAGATGACGTGATGACGTCAGTGATATGCAAATTGACGTATGACGTACCCCCCCCCCCCCCCCCCCCCCCTTCATCACGGGGCCCCGTCAGCGATCCCTGCAGGGGGGCCTCCGCATTTTGCGCTACGCCACTGATTCTACCACCTTGGTTGGCCTATAATATATCATCATTTCAGCCGTCTCTTCCAGTAAGATTGCATGAAGTAATTTTTGGGCCACTAAAATACAACATGAGAGCGCCATCTCCAGGTTAAAGATCCCACTTAGTGTTGCCAACTTATCAAGTTTGTTGCTAGCTTTAGCAACTTTTCATACTACCCTAGAAACTTTTTTTTTTTCAAAAGGACCCAGCCTAGCCACAAGTTTAGCAATTTTTAACATTCATTTGGCTAATTTCAGCTATTTTTACAAAGTTACTCAAAAGATCAGTGGCTGCAGGCTTCACTTAGTAGAGTAAATTAGCTCAGATTGTTTATAACTGTTAATTTACTGATGTTTGTTAACATGTATAATTATTAGTAATTTAGGCAGCCATAAATTCCATTAGTGCTATAATTGTTGTCACTTTCACAAATGTGTTAATTTCACAAGTTAAAAAGAGTAAATATTTTCTAGAGATGGGTTGCTGCTGGAAAGGCATCCGCTGCATAAAAACCAGCTGAATAAGTTGGCGGTTCATTCCGCTGTGGGGCCCCGAATTAATAAACGGACTAAGCAAAAAAGAAAATGAATGAATGACAAGAGTAAATACACGAGCTGTGCTTGAAAGAATACTGTTCATTATCAGTGTTATATTTAAAAATAAAAAAAATTCTTATCAAAAAGTGTTTATATTACTTTTACAAATAGTCAACTATATTTTCCATACAAATCTTAACGGACATATTTCAAATAATGTTTTTGCTGAGATGGCCAGTCAGACTACCTTGAAGCTACAGATCAAAACCTGAAGCTACAGTTCGAACAGGCTCACCAAAACTGGACAATATTGGAAAAATGTTGCCTGGTCTGACGAATCTTGATTTCTGCCGCAACATTTGGATGGTTGGGTCAGAATTTGGTGCCAACAACATGAAAGCATGGATCTATCCTGCCTTGTGTCAGTTGAAATGGTTCAGGTTGCTGGTGGTGTAATGGTGTGGGGGATATTTTCTTGGCACACTTCTGGAAAGGGGTCTGGATGCAGACCTGGTGCAGTGCAATCTGAGCTGCATCCAATGCTTTTTAATGTGCCCACCTAACCCCCACTCCTGTCACAGTAACGTCACTCACTCCATTGAGTGCATTGTGTCTGACATTGCATCGCTGAGTGATGCAATCTCAGCTTGCATCCAGATACAGTTGCACTTCTGGGCTCATTAGTACCAATTGTGCATCGTGTCAATGCCACAGCCTACCTGGGTATTGTTGCTGACATCTCCATCCCTTTAGGATCACAGTGTACCCATCTTCTGATGGCTACTTCCAGCAGGATAACACGCCATGTCATGAAGCAAGAATTATCTCAGACTGGTTTTTCAATCCAAAAGAGCACCTTTGGTGGAACAATGATTCACATCATTGATCAATCTGCACCAATTGTGTGACGCTATCACGTCAATATGGACCAGAATCTCTGAGGAATATTTCCAGTACCTTGTTAAATCAAAGCCACAATAAATAATGCACTTCTGAAGGCAAAGGAGGTTCAAACCCTGTATTAGTAAGGTGTACTTAATGAAGTGGGTGTCCATTTCTACTGTAAAAGATACCAAAATAGCAAACCATACCACTTTTTTGGAACCAAAAGCTAGATTAGAATGCAACCAGTTTAAAAAGAATCACCACTTGCGCATACAACAAGCCAGTAGAATGAAAACACAAAAAGTGACATTTTTAAATACACAGCCAAGAATGAGGTTGATTACAGCTTTCAGCTGTACAGCATGTCTACCAAGTAAAGGTTGTCAGTTGAAACGCAAGCCTGATCAGGGCGACCTGAACAGAACCAGACCACTCAATGGAAACAAGACATTACACCCTTTATAGTTCCCTTTGCCTTTGAACTCTTCAAATGGATAACAGAGTTAAGCCTTGGAATGGAATGCAGCCACAGTAAACACTTAAATACAATGAAATCATTGACTGACACACAAAGTAAAAAATTGCACCAGATTCTGACTTTATTGGCTAAATTCATGACTACTAAAAAAAGTCCTTTTTACAGGAAAAAGTGAGGTTTGCAGTTTACAAAGTGGCACAAAGCCACAATCAGAAAAAAAAGAAACAGTGCATTCCTGTGCAAACTGAAACAGCGATGGCACCCTCTTTGTAGACATTCACACTTGGTGTTTTTGCACAGCATGCATCGTTTTTATATAAATCGAAAAAAAAAAAAAAAAAAAAAAACCTTACTACAATTTGTTCAAGCCAAAAATTCAAAGAAACAGAGCATTTCCACAGGCCAGGCTAAACACTACCCGAGTGTGAGTTTTAATAAGCAAATGATGTGTCAAAATAAAAGTATATGACAAAATGTGCAGGGCGCCGTCAATAACTACTGTAAACAGACACGCACTTGGACAAAGTTTCACATTGAAGAGACTGGCAGTGATTTGCACACAATTCAAGAGCACAATCACCTCTGTTCAGATTGCTTTAGAGCTGAAGGGGAATGAAAATGTTCATAGAAATCTGGACCCTGAGGCTTGGTCTGAAGAAAAGGGCAAAGCGCAGGTCCAATAGATGGCCTAAAAAGCAATAGAACATTATGTGTGAAGATGCGTATTACAAGAAAGTCAACCAGAACAGCTTTAAAAAAAAAATTATAACGCAGTAAAAGGTGCGTAATTACTAAAGAAGAAAAAAAAAAACCTTGCATACAATCTCACAACAAACTCACTTTCAACAAATACACACACAATGCTGTTTCACATAGAAACCCACAAACTCCACAAAAGCATTTCATTCACGCACATGACCATTCAGATTCCCAGCATTCTTGTCTTGATGAGAGAAAAAAAAAAAAGCACTGCACTAGTTTGGTGTTTGGAGTAGAAGAGGAGAAAGAAAAGGAGAGGTAGAATGATGGACAGGATATTCAGGCATGCTGCAGTAGTTGATGTTATTTCTTGGCTTTGCCACCCTTGGCTGTGTTCCGAGGAGGAGTTACAGGTCTGCTGTTCCCAAATCCTCCAGCGCCGCCATATGACAGCACCTTCTTCTCTGCTGGTTTCAGAATCTGCAGAAACAGAGAAACAATTCTTTAGGTAAAATGTATTAGGAGGCACTAACTTCTTTACTAAGTTAAATTGAAGGGTTTCAAAGACATTTTTAAGACCCTTATAAATGAAATGTTAGACTTATACAACGCTAAGGATAAACGCTAAGGATTTTATTTGAATATGCCAGTTGGAAAAGAGATTTTTACTTGTTCTATCAAAATATAATTATAATTCAATATATTTAATAATACAATAATAATGTAACAATAAAAAAAATCTAGGTCAGGTCAGTATCTTTAGCAGTACATAAATGGAGAAACTTTAAACAAATGTTACTGTAAGGAAAGTGTTTAAGGCTATTTTTAAATTAAAAGTTAAACGTTTGAGATTGGAATTGTTGATGATTGTATGAGACAGATTGAGTAGCAATCAATCGAGGATTGAGTAGCAATCAAGGTTACTTATAATAGTTTTAGATTTTTTAATTAGTTTAAATTTTGTTTTGACTTTTTGATTTCAAATTCAGTTGGTTTTAATCAGAGGTGGAAAGTAACCAATTACATTTACTCACGTTACTGTACTTAGTACTGCTTACTACTGTACTTACTGTAAGTAGTTTTTTTTGAGAATTTGTACTTTTTAAAGTAGTGTTTAAAATCTGTAATTTTACTCAAGTATTATTTGCCTAAAGTATTGTACTTTGCTACATTTTAAATCACATGCGTTACGGAGTAAAAAAATAAATATATAAGGAAATGCAACGGAAAAAGTAAAAGGAAATCATGCCTGGAAACCACGTCACTGCAGCCGCAGAAAAATCTGCGGTAAACTTGTCTATTTACTGTTGCTGGAGCTGGATTTGTGTATCAGTTTATCAGCAAAAGACCTGTCAACCCCAGAAATGACAAGGTAAGCTACTGTATGCCTCATTGATAATTTTAGCCATGCCTGTGCCCTTATTGGCGTGATATGGAACTTCATGACTTAATGACGCAGAAAATAAACAAATAACTCAGGGAAAGTTTAGACCGCTTAGTATAAAAGCATCTCCAGTCCGTTGTTTAATGTAATGTTTGCACTTGTTAGACTATGAATCTCGCTTTTGCCTACTGGCTGCATCCAATAATATCCAGGGCACCTAAACTCTGTCCGTTTTAGTTGCCTATCTTCCTATGTTTCTTTTCATCTGCACCAGGACCCGCGGTAACTTTATCACATGTTGTTTAGTGTTTCCTTAACCTGCAACTCTTTATTTTACAAATTATGATATATATATCATGAAGAACTGTATGCTCATCAAGCTTTGAGAATAAGAGCTATATACATCAACATAGCAGCATTTTTATGACACTTTATAACAACAGACAACGCGGTGGCAAAGTAGGTAGTGCTGTCTCCTCACAGCAAGAAGGTCACTGATTCGAGCCTCAGCTGGGTCAGCTGGCATTTCTGTGTGGAGTTTGCATGTTTGCGTGGGTTTCCTTCGGGTGCTCTGGTTTCTCCCACAGTCCAAAGACATGCGGTACAGGTGAATTGGGTAGGCTAAAAATTGTCTGTAGTGTGTGAATGAGTGCGTATGGGTTTCCCAGTGATGGGTTGAAGCTGGAAGGGCCTCCGCTGCTTAAAACATATGCTGAATAAGTTGTTGGTTCATTGCGCTGTGGTGAACACAGATTAATAAATGGACTAAGCCGAAAAGAAAATGAATGAATGTATAACAATAATTAACATTTTTACAGTACTGTGACGGTTGGGTTTAGGGTTGGGGGTAGGCTTTAAAAAAATACAATTTATTTGGTAATTTAATAAATAGCAGCATAAATAATACTCAATACAACTACTGTTTTTACGTTACTGTGACAGTTGGATTTAGGGTTGGAGTGGGGGTAGAAGTTAATAAAATACAACAAATGTGAAATTTTATAAATGATATAAATAATTCTCATTAACTTTCGACCGCAACTGTATCTAGCAAAAACCAAAATACTGGGGTAAAACAAACTGTAATATTTTAAAGACATGGCAGGGAGAAATGGACTTTAATGCAGTGCTTCTTGTCTGATCTGAAACCCACTTCATATTGTATGATATAGTGAGGATCACTGATTTTTAAAGAAATCAGACCTTAAACATGAAAAATTTGAAATGGAAAGACGTCATCGGAAGCCCTTGGAATGCCTGGCTGAAAATTAAAAGTCTGTGTGCATATAGCCCATTTAGCTAACACGCAGATGTTGCATTAGAATTTGTGCATTTGTATAAATTGTTAAATAGGATAATCTGTAAAACATTTTAAATAATATATCATTTTTTGTTATTGGTCTTTAATTTTTAAAGTTACTTCTACAAATAAAAACAACTAATTGGAAATTTATATCGTCTTTTCCCTTTTGAGAAATAGTTACTCTTTACTTTTTACTCATGAGTATGTTTTTAAGAAGTTACTTTTTACTTTTACTTGAGAAGATTTATAGACATGTAACTACCTTTACTTGAGTAAAAAAAAATTTAAGTAACAGTACTTTTACTTGAGTAAAAGATTTTATTACTCTTTCCACCTCTGGTTTTAATTAGCTTTTAGAGGCAGATTTACTATTTACCATATTTTGAAATTGCTCAGTTTTAGTTTAGTTTTTTTTTCTAAATAAGGATATTTGTTAGGTGCAAGATTCGAAATAATCTGAATAATTATTGTACAATAAAAACTTCATACATTGTTTGAAACATGTATTGAAGCATGACCACTATCATTTACCCTTCCTCAAATTCATATACAACAGCCCACAAGACAGCAGCCTTAAGTAAAATACTGTACCTATGCAAGGCCGCTTCAGAGGTTAGATACACAGTAGAGATTAGAAGTTCAGATCTTTAGTGCAAATGAAATCTTTTGTGACAATCCTTCTATGTTAGGACTCAACATACCAAATATATGTAGCCAGCAATCATAATTTCAGTCAGTTAAAGGTGCAGTAGGTGATTGTCCTTAAAAGCATTTTTTGTTGTGCTGGTTGATCTCTTCACAGTCCAATAGCGATGATTACAGTAAATGATCTAAATGTATTTATATGTATTTTGAAATTTTGGGTAAGGCATAAAACTAAAAAAATGTTCAACCAATTGAATAGTCGGCCCGACATCTCTCATAAATCTGATAAGTAGCTCAAACTGTCTGTCAGCAAATGCAGATTTGAACAACTGCGCAGTCATTTGTACGCAGCTTCGCTGACCGCTGTTTGTGCTGCGCGTTTACAAGAGAGGGAGAGAGCATGTGCGCGATCGGTAAACACCTGCTGAATCAAAACTTTTTAAAAACCTGAAGCAATATTGGAGTTACCTTTGCATGCTGGAGAAAGGATGTCACAATTGCTGAAGGATTTCTCTTAGACAGGTAATGTTCTGTTTTAAAACTGTGAGTAGCTTTACGCAAAGCTGAAGTAACGTTAGATGTTGCTATTACAAATGGGTTATATCTTCACAAAAGTGTTGTTCAGCCACTAAAATCTTCCGATGAAAGATTGATAAGACATCAGCATTGATAATGTAGATTTTAATTAGTTTAACAACAAAACTAATTGTTGAAACAAGTAATGCTATTCTGCCTAGTCTCTCCCTATATTATTTACCATGCAACTCTAATATTCACTCTGAAATCGCATGTCAGTTTGGCTTGCACGCCGCCGGACAAGCACGAGTCGCTTTTGACACATGAGAGAGGGTTCTTTTGCTGTGCTCGTGTTTAAGGAGGCGTGGCTCTAGACAGCAGGGGAGGGACTGTGATTCAGAGATTCATGCTAAGCTGTAAGCATTGTGGAAGATCACCTACTGCACCTTTAAAACATCCCCATGATCTGAAACATTTCTCAGTTAAGTTCAGCAACCCAACTGAAGCATGATTCACTTAATTAAAGTCCATTTCGACTTTGTTATGAAATAAACTTAAGTTTCACCCCCTCATACAAGTACTCCGTTTACCCATGCTGCAATTGTTCAAGTTTAGTTCAGTCACAGCAGGTTGTCATGTACTGTTTGTGTTCGGTTCACTAAATCACACATGTGCAGTATTATTGGTTCACTGTTTCTCAAATCTGATCTCAGTGTACTGTTCTAATTAGGGTTGGGCGATGTCGACCAATTCGGCATCGTACGATGTCTATTATGAAACATTACGATGGACGATGGCATCGTCGTCATAGGTGGAGATGAGTTCATTATAATTTATAATAATAATAATATATTTATTATGCATAAATAAATAAAGATAAGTTGCACACAAAATACCACCTGTCAATCACTTTTTCCGCAGGAGGTTAGTCAGTAAAAAAGGTGCAAAACCAACAGCATCTGAGGTTTAAACTAAAATGACAAGCGTGAAAGTGAAAGATTAAAGCAGTGTACTGATGCTGTGACTTCTTACCTGATAAATTCAAAAGACTGAAGAGTCGTTTGAAGATTAAGTCGAGAAAAGATTAATTAAATATCATGTTTAACAACTAGGGCTGTTTAGAAATGCTTGTTAAAACATGGAGTGGATGTGGATAATTTTTGTTCTAAAAAGGCATTTTAAAACTAAGACGTATTAGTGTAAACGGAGCCTATGTGTGTATTTTTAGAGAGCAGGTTTGCGACGGGGGCGGGGCAGAGGATCGCTGATGCCGGCTCATCATCGTGTTGTCTATTGGTCATCATCTATGGACAATGGCACCTTCTATAAGCCCAACCCTAGTTTTAATAACTGAATAACAGTATACATTGGTTTATTTCGAGTCAGGGGGGTATAAGGCATGTTTAAAAAGTAGTTTGTGGAGAAGGGTGCTTACTGGAGGAAAGATCTGTTCGCGATCACTAAGACAGAAATATAACCCATTATTGTGCACAAATTAAAAATAATAAGTGTATGTCTCTGTATTTAACGGCAACAATATTTCAGTAGATTTAAGATTTTTGAGGCCTAAAATTAGCTTTAGAGATTTAAGACAATAACACTTTTTAAAACCCTGTAGTAGAGTTGCACAATTAATCGGAAAAAAAAAATCCTGATCTCGTTTCGACACCTTGGACGATCTTAATCCAGCCTTTCTATGATTCTGCCAATCATATTTTCAAGTTCAAGATCTTCACATTATTTTACATACGTTGTTTAGCAACGTGGACACCAATGGTGTTGAAAGAGTTACATTCAGTATATACAAGGTATAATTCACCAAACAAATGCCATTTCTGTCTTCATGTAATGATGTATTCGCGGCCATGAAATCACACGTGACATGAGCTGACCGTGACCTGTTACCACAGAGAGGGTGAGCGCGCGCATGTAGATAAAGTCTACTTAAGTGAACAGAACCTGCAGAGGCTGTGAATAACAGGTAATACAGTTGTAAACAACATTCAGGTTGTGGAACAGTGATCATTTGGGCGCCACACAGGAAATATGAACTGGACTTAGCAGTGAAAATGAAACCGAAAGCGAGCACGTCATTTAAATAATCATATCGCATTATAGAGTTATGATTGCGACAAGCATTTGATATGTTTTTTCTTTCTTAGTGAACAAAAAGTGTTAACAGTGTCAGTATAACCACTGTAGCCTATTATGTTGAATAAAATGCAAGAGGGAATCTGATGTTACCAGTAGAAAAAAAAAATTGTCTAATATTGTTGTCAATGACAGATTGCAAACATATGTCTGAAACATAATAATTCAACATCAGAAATAGGAAAATGTTTTGTGGTCATCACTTTACTGTGCATTATTGACCAGGACAAATTTAATGTCTGTTTAAGTCCACCATTCTAAGTCTATACAAAATGTAGCATTTTAACCAACAGTAGACCCACACATAATATTATTATAATATTTTTTACATAATATTTTTACTGTATGTTTGAGAAATAACAAAAATAAAAGCCCACTCATATTAACCTTTATTTTAAATCTACAGAACCATGAAAATAATCATGATCTTTAAAGCAATTTAAAGCATTTAAAGCAAAAAAATCGTGATTCTCATTTTAGCCAGAATAGCGCAGCCCTACCCTGTAGATACCCTGTTCACAATTAGTGTTAAGATGCAAATATTACAAATATTCAATCAATTTTCATCAGTTAAAGTGCTCTTTAAACTCTAAACTCGCATTTAAAAGTATGTTATGTAACATTTAAATAAATTTTAGATTTTAAGAATTAGAATAAAACAAAAACAAAGAATAGGCACATACTAACCTGAAATGAGCACATAAGGGTCTCATCAACACTCATCATGGCACCTGCATTGTCAAACTCGCCGCAGTAGTTGGGAGCAGAGAAAAGCGTGACTAACTGCCTCTTCGCAAAGAACTCGTAGCCATCCTCCACCACCTGTTCAGAGAGCAGACGATCTATGCTTTACAAATTTTGCAATATATGTCCATCTTATTATCACTAAAGCTGAGGACAGAACTGAATTTTAGAAATGCAATGATCTATTTAGGTAATTTGGTTTGCAGTCAAGAGTCTCATTTTTTAACAGTGCCAAACACACACACACACACACACACACACACACACACACACACACACACACACACGCACACAAACGCACGCACAAACGCACTCACGCACACTAAGAAAAACAAAGGCAAGAAACAAACATACAAAACACTCTCTTCAAGACATTATAGTGACTATCCTGCTCACACTATTACAGCCGCATGATATCATGTCATCTCTGTGGAAGCAGCAAGAGCGAAAAAACACACAGACCAAATGAAGCATCAACAGAAATTTCTCTGCGCTTAAGTCAACCACTGTGCTGCAGGTTAGCGATGCTCATTTTGACAGACAAATTAATTGACCGATTAATACCAGCAGTTAAATGGTTTAAAATAGGGATGCACGATATATCGGCGCCCATATCGTTATCGGCCGATAAATGTTGTTTTTAAGATTATCATTATCGATCCGATGTCCAAATTAGGCCGATATATTTAAGCCGATAAATTACGTAATCTCCTCACACTGTTTATTCCTTCAAAGTCCATCCTTTCTTCACGTGGCACTGCTGTGCGTTAATAACTCAGTAAGTAATCATGTTCCTCATCATTGTAGATATGTTTGATTGAGAGTCATTGTGTATTTTGCTTTAAATCACCTCAGGAAAAATATTACATGTGTAAACCTTTCCTGCTCTGTCTCTTTGTAGTGTTAGAGATAGCAGAGGAGATTCACTTATTACTCCAGGGCCGAATAATATTAGTTTCGGGGTGAACTCTTTTAGTTTCAGCTGGTGAATGAAAGAGGACACATGTAACTTGGTCCAAAATATTTATTACTTTTTGTGTGGTACAACAAATAAGTTACCAAAAAGGCAACATCACAGAAAATGGTCTCATGGCGAAAAAAAAAAAAAACGTTCCTCTTTTCTCTCTTCCTCTGCTTCACACACCCCAAACTGCAGCCCAACATTTTACAACATGTGTAAACATAACGGTTGTTTGTAATCTGATTATTTGTTATTATCAACGCGTTGCTGGTCATTTGTTGTTGATGTAAGATTGTATTCAGTTTGATCGGAATATTCATATTGATTATAACGAGCTCGCGTGAGAGCTGTCACCGCAAACACGCACACTGTAGCACGGGGGAGAGGTGAGAGATGAATCCAGTCAAAGGGGCTCTTAACTAGCCGCTCATTCTGTCTTTACATTCTGCTCTGTTTGCCATAAAGTCAGCTCAATGCAGGTTTTGTATCAAAAGCTGACTGATGGCAACTCTGCCTCTACAGTTGAGTAAAACTCTCAGCGGTTTATCATAAACTTTTCATCGAACATTTTCCCGCGATTGACGGCAAGAACGAGCGCAGAAGTGTTGTCTGATTGACAAGCAGCACCTACATGTGAAATGTCAAAACGCCAAAAAAGATGAATCTGTGCCACGTTTTCTAAACGTACTATTTAGCTGTTCGCTTGTACGGTGGCTCTAAACTGTCAAAACACCTCTAAAAAAGGCTTTTTCAGACATGACATACCTTTACATGTGTACATCACTGTAACACGTTTTATTCATGACCATTTGAGCTGGTTTCAGTCCTTAGCTTTTATTTTCATCTTATTTAAATATATTTAACTTGCTTGTTGATTAAATACCATTTTGTTATTTAAACTTTTATTTTTATGCAACAATCAACTTGCATGTTAATTTGCTATGAAGAAAAGGAAATCATTTTTTGCATGCTGATTTATGTGAAATCGTGAATATAGGTCTATAATCACCTTGCAATTTTGAAGGTATAGCTTTTTTGCTTTGAGTATAGACTATTCGTTTCATAAGAGCAGTTCAATCTTTTATGAAGTTTGCTGTGTAAAAATATAACAATTTAAAATATTAGTTCTTCTTAGCAATGTTTCAATTGTTTAAATTGCATCTCTCCTGCTCCCCCACCCACATTCCAACCTCCCATCAAGGCAAAGTCTGAGCAAAACAAGGGTGGCAACATGTGGTAAAGTAGTCACCCTCATTTGTCGACTTTTGTGATCATGAAATGGATGCTAGAGACCTATTCTACAGAGTCCCCACAGGTCGTTGAATAGCAAACATTGATTACATTTGAACATTTACACACCGTAAACAATTAAAAATGTCACAATACATCAATTTTATATGTTGACCAAGTAAATGCAGCCTTGCTGAATAAAAACTTTTTGTTTTAACTTTTTTTGATTTTGACTGTTATTAAATTTACGCACACACTTATGTATATGTCTAGACCAGGGGTCACCATTCTCGGTCCTAGAGGGCCGGTGTCCCTGCAGGGTTTAGCTTCAACCTGCCTAAACACATCTTTCTGAATGTTTCAAGTATACCTAGTAAGACCTTGATTAGCTTGTTCAGGTGTATTTGATTAGTGTTGGAGCTAAAATCTGTAGGACACCGGCCCTCCAGGAACAAGTTCGGTAACCCATGGTCTAGAAAATGATCAGAATACATTCAGTAAATTATTTACCTGGTGGGCTCTGCATATGAGATCCATGTCATGTTTGTGCAAAAACTTGGCCACGACATCAGACCCGAAGGTGAAGGAAACACCACGATCATTCTCTCCCCAGCCCATGACATCTTTATCAGGGTCAGCCCAGAGCAGATCACACAGCAAACCCTGGTCAGGGACATCCGTAGGCCTCATCACACGCCGAATCTGTTCCATTGATTGCAGGTCTGGAGAAAGACCTGTGTGAAAGAACATTGTTTAATATTACGAATTCCATGTTTTGATTTCTAGCACATCAAGGACCACAACTCCAAAATTCCCAGCCTGGATGTTTCACATTTACATCCATGTGATAAATCATTCATATCAAAAACACATCAAAGGTCTTTCTTTTGTCTGCAAGTTCTTTAAGTAATGGAACTGAACTTGATGACGTATAATGAGAGCACATGACGGCAAGACTGAATAAGACACTGCCCTTAATTAGCTGGTTTAAATGCATTTAAATAGGGCTGGAGCAGGAAGGTGACCTTGTTTTTCAACTCCAGTCATCTCACTAATGAAAATAACTGGTTCAACTCATTAGCTTCTAGGTGTTTTGGATAAACATATTGTAAGCATCGCATTTCCATAAAAAAAAAAAAAAAACTTTTTTTCTACAATAATCACTAAAAATTGCAAAGCATATTCTTTAAATAGTTTAGTGTGTGGTTCATGGGTTTGTCTCTGAAGTGGTTAAAAGTGCCTCCCCTAAAGGAGAAAACCTTTGAGGTTAAAATACTTTTCTTTATAAGTGTTTATGTGTGGTATTTCCTATAATTTCTGCAACAATTTAAAACCAATGTAAATATAGTGTAAAAAACACTAAGCTACATTTATCCATTTTTAGAATGACAAATTACACCTTCCAGATAAACAGTTAAAAGTGTTTCTCTAATTTAAACATTCAATTAGAGTATTCGCCTAAAGTAAAACAAATTCTTCATTATGCAGATCTAGTGTCCAGGTTAACCTTTGACTAGGTCTAGTCTTAGGGTAAAGAGGGAAAAAGATGAATAAATAAAAAATAAATAAGACTTACCCCCATGACAACAAAAAATCTTTTCATCCACAATAGCAGCTACTGGCAAGCAGTTGAAACAGTCTGTGAATGTTTTCCAGAGCTTGATGTTATAACGTCTTTTACCTGTAAAAAAGAAAAAGAAAACTTGCATATTAGGACTGCAAAATGATAACATTTAATGATAATTTCTAATGGTAATATCTAGTCTACACCCCAATCTGATTTTGAAGAAAGGGACAACACCTACTATAACAGTAATTACCTTTCAATTAATCGCCCAGCCTTAATGGTGAGTAAAGTTGAATATTTGTATCACATCTTTAAAGATTATTTCAATGATGATGATGATGTAGAGCACCAATGTTGTAAATTGTAAAGTCAAGCAAATTAGTTTGTAAATATATATATATATATGGCTGATTCCAGCGTTATGGACGTGACATTTGCAGTAAAAAAAATGAAACGTATATTCTCAGAGAAGGTATATGTTAACAGTATATTGAAATATATGTTTATATTTTTCTTACCCCTTAACCATGGAGTTCAGGCATCAAAAAATATCAGTCTATGCAGGTGTTTTATATTTAAAATGACGGCAAAATGAATGCGTTACGGACGTGACAAAAAAAAGACATGAGTTTTGTGAGTTGACATACTTTGTGAAAATTCTGTGAATGAAAATGCAGAAGACAAAAAAATATATAACAGTCAAAAGGATAAGGGTTGGCTCTGCATGGGACATATATAATTAATTGTATTTAGTTTTTCATTTTTGCATTAATGAGGAAAAACTATCGTTACGGACGTGACTTGTCTTCGTTACGGACGTGACTGCTCTGAAATTGACAGTTGACACATTACGAAAATCAGATAAATGCTTTCAAAACTTGACCAAAGACCTATTTGTGGATATCTGTTGGGTGTGTAAACCAATAAACTTTAACCTCTGAGACATCTGAATGGTAAGGTTGCACAATTAATCAAACTTAAATAGATATCACCTTGTTATATTTAATTCGTATTATGGCATGTGTGTTGTTAAAGGTTAACGCACGTTCGAATGTTCAAAACTCAATTCGGTAACAATGTTGCATGCTAACATGGTGCTTTTATACTCTGAATAATATAGAATTGATAATAAACATAATCAGCTATAATGGGCCTATGTTTAGCAGGCTCCTAAAGTTAGTGTTTCCAGACAAACTTGAATTAAATCATTGCCCGACTGTTGCGCAAGACCGTGTCTAAGTGGAGAATATTTAAAATCTAGTTTTGTCACAGATATGGCAATATTATATTTGACAAAGTTTATTTTAGTTTATTCTAGTTAATGTGTTAGTTGATGGAATAAATAATTTAATTTCTCCACTCGCGCTTGCTTTCTTTTTCTCGTCGGCAGTCACTTCAGGACAGGTTGCAAAAAGTTCATACGCACCAGGGTGAGAGAGAAAACTTTAAAACTTAAGAAAGGTTTTGTGTAGGCTATGTTAAACAAGCATAGAAAAATAGTCATTGGTTGTAGGCATGTACGATGGATGACTATAATGTTTATATTTTTAGGCTATAGTTCATAACCGATTGTGTAAAATATTGAATTAAATATTTACAGCTGCAGGTCCTATCGATTTTCTAACAAATTTAATACTCATATAATGTAGTTAAAGCTTAGATCAATATCAAGATTTTAATCTTATTTTATTCTTATTAATTAAAATAATTTTAATAAGCACTCAAGCGCATTTGCCGGGTGCTGGAAATCTTTGAAAATGTTTCAATTTTAATGTAGGCTATAGCCAATTTTCAAGCTTTGAAAGTGCTTAGATTTTGGATAAAGGGCTTGGAAAATAAATTGTGTCGCTTTGATAATTTATCTTTATAAATAGTTATTTAATTAATTAAATAAAAAACATATTTATGCTCTGCATGAAATGAAAACTCCGCTGTGGCCTGACCCGCGGCGTGCGCATTTTGAGCAGTGGGAAAAGACCAAATGCATGGAGGTTATTGATTATGCGCCTTGCGCGCCTCGCGTTTTGTCATTGCGCGCTTTGTGCGCTCCAGAAGAAAAGCATGTTACCTCAGTGGCGTCTTTCATTCTTCAATCAAACGAAAGCAGAGGCGGGGTTTCCTTGGAGGTGACAGCAGTGTCAAGATGACTACGGCGAACTTTTTAATGACGGAGAGACTTGTGGTCGCTGTTTTAAGTCATCCAAAGTTGTATGACTTTACAAATCTTGAATTTCATAATGTTATTTAAAAAATTTAATTATGAAAACATTGACAGCAACACTCGCGCACAATAGACCAGCTGATTCAGTTGTTATCTATAGTGACATTCAAAAGAGCACCGTGCTCCTTTTCTTCTTGTCAACATAAAATGCATTGCGGAGCGCCTCACGTCTCTGGAATGAAGAAGCGCGTTCGTTGTGATCGGCTTTTATGAGCAACACATATTTGTTAACTCGCATGACAGTAACACGTGCAAACACACGTGCTTACAGATGTTTTTTGCCAAAAAAGCAAAATGAAAGAAGGATATTCTGGCCACAGTTTGACACAGGAGTTGACGAACCAGCGCTGATCCTGGTCGTCTGTGCTGCCTGGAGCCGCGTCATAAACTCAACTAGGCATATTCATGATTTAGTGCAGACTACTATCAACAACCACCCTTTTTTCCTTTTCGAAAATAACAGTTATTAATAGTTCTTATATACATTTTAAATAGCCTAATCTACAAATCAAACAAAGACAAATATTTTATAACTTCGCACCAAACTGATGCTTCATTTTACAGCTTATAAAACATGTATGCAAATTAATGCAGTATCACATGTAAATAACAAAATTGTTATATGCTTAGCCTATACTTTACAAAATGTATAGGTTCAAAGCCTTATGGTTCATTGTCATTATATTTCACTATAGGCAGCGCGTGCGCACATGAACCGCAAGTAAGACGGAGGAAATAGGTTAAGTCATTATGGCCAATTATGGCAATATGTAAAATGTTGTTTTCTTATTAAACATTTATTTCTGAAATGTTACTAAAGTGGTTTATAGTTAAATGAAATGTTCAGTTCTTGATATAACATATGGATGTTATGTAATGTAAGTCAGTAATTGTAATGCAGCATCATAATGAACAAATATGCGCTAGTCATTGGCTTATATTAATAAGGAGTTTAAAAATGGTCACGTCCGTAACGCAAAATTGTGGTTGTTCAGAGCAAAGACCTGAGATGAGTTGGCGATCATAATTAGTATGGACATATTTTGGCTTTGTATACAAAGTTTCATTTTATTTGTTATAATATTTATTCCACAATATAAACTTTTTCATTAAATCGTTACGGACGTGACACGTGACCGAAGCTGCGTGATGTCTTAAATATGTAGCTCATAAATCAAAAGGGCAATAATGTTATGAAAAAGTAAGGATAATTATTTATACTACAGACTCCAATCCTTCTGCAGAATGATTACTGTTAACTTAAAGCATGGAAAAGGTGAGTCTTTAACCCCTTTTTTGAAAGCACGAAAAGTGGTTGGATGATAATGAAAATTAGCATTGGCACAATCCTCATATTTCATGGATAAACAAAACAATTTCCTTAAAAATTCAACAAGAGCACATCATAACAATAAAATATAGACCTTAATAAGCAAATTGAAATAGGTTTTGTTATTTTGGTCAAAAGTTTATTTTTTCATGATAAGGTTGACATTTTCATGGAATTGCTCATATATATATATATATATATATATATATATATATATATATATATATATATTTTTTTTTTTTTATGTGTTGCAATATGTGAATTTATTATTGTATTATACGTTTATTGGTAATGTGTTATGTTTTTGGATATGGACCTAGAAGTCTGAAATAAAAGGAATAATAACAATAAATTGCTATTACAACTAACAATAGCAAGCAGTGAGTAGTTATTTAATCCACTTCTTGACTGTAAAGTCATTTCTGTTTAAACAATGTTGAGATAACATTGTTAAAGATAATTTACCCCATGTTGTTGATATCGAACAAGATGCTACTACAATAAAACTAATCATAGCTAACTAGCAAAACCCAATTATCTAGTATGGATTACGAAACATTATGATGACCTACAGTTAATCATTTCAGTGACAATATGTTGGCCAACAAAAAACGTTTATTGTGATGGGCCTAGTTCAATGATTTAATCTGTTTGATCCACATCTCCAATTTAAGATACAGGTCCTGTCAACTAAATTTCTAATAAACAAACATTATTAATAAATTTGTTCATTTGTCAACTACCCTAATGAATATTACACAATAATTGATGTTCCTTACGTTGGCTATTGAACCCAATTGTACAACACAAAACTCAAACTGTTTCCAAGTTTTTTTTATTAAACAGCAATTTCTTTTTTAAATAAAGGTTATGTTAGAATCTGTTATATTATATTAAGATTAATTATAATTAATTATATTAAGATACCACCCAGCCCAAAATAAGCATACTCACATTCATCATAAAATCCATATATCCTGTTGATTGAGGCACATTCATGGTTTCCTCTGAGAAGAAAGAAGTTCTCTGGATATTTGATCTTGTAAGCAAGCAGCAGGCAGATGGTCTCCAGTGACTGCTTGCCTCTGTCAACATAGTCTCCCAGAAATAGGTAGTTACTCTCTGGTGGATATCCTCCATACTCAAAAAGCCTGAGCAGGTCATAGTACTGACCATGAACATCACCTGCAGTGAAGATAGATAGATTTCAGTTAGTTAAGCTTGTTTTGCTCAACTGAAAATTTAAATCTGAGTGTAAAGGCTATCAGATCTTTACCACAAATCTTGAGGGGTGCCTCCAGCTCCAGTAGTATTGGCTGACTAAGAAAGATTTCTCGAGATTTTAGACACAATCCTCGAATCTCTTGCTCAGTTAACTGAACATTTTTACCAGGTCTTGAGCCCTTCACTAGAAAAAAGAAAGTGAAAAATTATTATAAAATTAAAAATGAGTATTTTTAATTATTATTATTAAAAATTATATTTTTGACAATGAATTAACAATTAAAACATTGTTGGATGTTAATTTTCACGTATTAGAGGATCTTTAATTCCTTATGTCTTTATTCATACAGCAATGCTTATTAATTAGAAAATGCAAGTATTGTTTTCTAAACAAGTAAATTTACTCCACAGCCATATTGAGCTTAAATAAATAAAAAGCCTCAAAGGCAAGTAAAAATCTAAAAGATAAGAAAATAATCATTTATGCTACACCTTGCAAGTATTTTTTTTTTATTAACCAGCTCTTTGGTTGTTTCACATTTAGTAGGCAGTCTTAAACCACCTGATTTAAAGGGCAAATGCATTATCCAAATGCAGGTTGCAGATAACAAACAGATATTTAAAGAGTTAAAAGTAAATATAGACCTGTCTGTGATCCAAGTGCAGTGAAATCTAATTTTACTGAAGCTTGCATCAGAAACAACAATCATTTACTGCGGGGCAGCATATTCATTTACAGTAACAATAGCAAGGCTCAGACATTTACCTTTATACATTTTACCGTTTCATCACAATTCATTTGGACAGACAGACAGACAGACAGACAGACAGATAGATAGATAGATAGAGTTAGATATTTATTTTTAGGTTTACTGCTGTTCACTTTAAGGTTAACTAACGCTAATATTTACTGGAAAGTATGAAGAAGGCAAATGAGTTGTATATAATCTAATTTCTACAATACAACTATTTCTTTTACCTGAATATCCTAGTCAAAATTTGGCATAAAGACCTATGACGACATCTTAGTGGGATTTTAAACGCGACGACAAACGAAATGCGCATGCGCTTAAATATAATTCGGATTATATGTAATAAATATGCCAATTATACAACAGTATTTTAATTACATCAACGGAGATATGCATTTAACTTATATATATAACAATACACAGTCATATATAGACTTGACTGGAGACGACAACGACCACAAGTAAAACTATATAACGTTACTCGTTCAAACACTTATTTAACATTATGCAATATACATCAACAAGAATTCAAGTTTATTACCTTCCAAAAGGCGCTGGATGATCGAATCGATGTTTATTTTGTCCGATTCGGCCATTTTGTCGCGCGCTGGAGATTAGCCGGCTAACAGTGCCAGTAACGAGACCGCTGGGGAACCCGCCCAATACAAATTCACGACAATACTTTATAAAAACGTCGTTACAAAAGAGTCATACTACTGTTGGTATTCCTGAGTGTACTTTACAATGTTATTGCCGCGAATGGTCCCTCCGGTAGTTCGTTGTGTGAGGTAAACTAGCACCACGACCGTTTACGGTTGAAGGAAACGGTAAAGGGGTGGGGGTAGACATTAAGCGCGTGTCTGATTGGTTATTCTCGTCTCATGACGAGCCTTCAAACATGAGATCTGAAGAGCCAATAGGATATTTAATGTGTCAATCTTTTTCTATATAATTCGTCGAACTAAACACGGTGTATAATCTCAGATTCACAGGATAATCTTTTTGAAACTGTAATCCTCGTCATGATGGACATGCTAAATCTTCTTAGGCTGGATAGTTAACATACTTCATTAGCAACGATTGAAATCAATTCAGAAAATGTCGCGTTTAAACAATATTCGAAATATAAAGGAATACGTTCTTTCAACCCACGGAAGTAACCATAGATAGAAATGACGTGGTGACGCAATCTATCGGCCAAATGACGTGATCAGAGAGCGACATTGCGAATCGTCTGATTCATTCTAAAGTAGCAGAATGTGCTATTGCTGAGGCGGAAACGTTACCAAAACAGACTATTAAATAGAGTAGATTACTCATTATCAAAGATGTATTTTGTTTTTGAATAGTTAACCTCATTGACCATGAAGTTGGTTCATAAAGACATCGAGAAGGATAATGCCGGGTGAGTGTTTGTGAACACGAGTCTACATGTACACCACTTTTGGGCATTATATTTACCAGTTGAGTGGGGTTGTAGTGCCATGATGCGATGTTGGTATTATATGACAATACAATAGAATAATCGGATACTTTTGTATAAATGAAACATGGTGGCGTAATAACGGATCTTTTCTGTTTGTAGAACCGACACCATTATAACCCAAAATGCTGGCTGTATTGCTTACCCAGTGTTGTGTTTTCAAACTTGGCAGGATTGTTTCACATTGCCACAGCCCCAAAATTGCGTTTGCCTTGCTCGTAGCGCCCCCCTTTGACCACCTGCGCTTTTATAGCCCGGTGTTTTCAAACTGGGGTCTTTACGAGGACAAAGAAGGGTGTGTAATTTTGTTTGGAAAATGGAAAAGATAAGATAATTTAGTTAATGAAATAATATGCTTAAAGTAAATGACAATTTTAAGATAATCACACGGACTAGTGTAATATAAATAATTGATATATAACAGGCCCGTAGCCAGTCTGGTAAAGGGGTCTTTTTTCATTTTTTTGCAGTTATGCTTCTCGTTTTCTGTTTAATTATAATATTTAAATACGGCATTTTAACATTTAAGCATTATTTTTTAGGATGGTTACCACACTTTTTGATATACCAAAAATATTTGCTAAAGATTTGGAATAAAGAAATGTAAAATAATATATTTTTTAAAATATTTGTATTTACATATTTATCACATCGTATATTACTAGAAAAAAATAGGAATCTGTTTAAGTTTTTAATTTAAAAGCTGTAGTCTATTGTCATTTATTAGGCACATAACAAACTGCTCAGCACATTAAACAGTCCTTAGTTAGAATTTGGCCATTAGAATAATAATAAAAAAATGAATTAAAACATAATAATAATTATATTATAGATTTTAACCTAGAGCTTCACAAGTTGTCTTGCCTCTCTTGTAAAAAAAAAGTACATTTGAAAATTCATGGATGACAACAATAGCCAAAATAGTATTCAAATCAATTGTAATATGGTCCACTTTTGGAGCTTTACATACTTTTATTGCTTTTTTTTTTCAAGAATAAGCTCCAAGGTTTAGAATAAACGTTACCTGTAAAATGCTTTCTTTATTTTAAAAACAATGAAGTAGCAAATGATGACTTCTCTTAAAGCAGATTGTTCAGGCTGTCCACGGGGTCTTAAAAGTATTAGAAGTTGATAAATCAATTTACAGAAAATTTAGGCCCTTAAAAAGTAATAAAGTCTTAAATGCTATTTTGCAAGGTATTAAATTTTATATCATTTTTGATTAAGCAATATATGATTGTATGATAAAGTGTGCCTGAATTAAATCTGCGAATACCAGGATTCTGTGTAGTTTGTGAAATCGATAAAATTCTGCTAGATTTTACATCATGCTGCTTTGTTTACTGCAGTAACCAAGGCAACACTATTATTTTTGTTGTTCTATAGGCTGCTGAATTAGCTAGATTTAATAGATTTTTATTGAGTATATAAGTAATGTTTTAGTTTTGGATTGGTTTCTTGCATTAATATTTAGTAAATATATTGTCATTTAAAATATCGGCAGTGTAAAATATCGACGTTGTCCTGTGGGTGCCATCGCATCATCCAAGTGGATGTTACAAACTGGTGGTGGTGTGGAGAGACACCCTCATGATTGTGAAGCACTTAGAGTGTATATAAATACACATTATATTATATTATATTATATTATATTATATTATATTATATTATATTATATTATATTATATTATATTATATTATATTATATTATATTCATGTATGGGGTAAATTCGGGGCCTTCGTTAGTAAGGGGGGTGTCTTCCGAGCCAACCTAATCCTAACCATTTTGAGGGATGTAAACATAATTTCTACAGCTTCCGAGGACCCATACATATTGATAAATATTGTTTTGATGGGTATTTTAACATTAGGTTATGATTGAATTGTCTCTTGTTACAGTTATGAAATTGCACGTTTTTGCGCAGCGCATGCCCTTCCAGCCCCAACCCATCTCTGGGAAACATCCACTCACACACTTCTACACTACGGACAATTTAGCCTACCCAATTCACCTGTACCGCATGTCTTTGGACTGTGGGGAAAACTGGAGCATCCGGAGGAAACCCACGCGAACACAGGGCGAACATGCAAACTCCACACATCCAAAGATGCTTTATAAATTGTCAATAAATCAGTGTTTTTGAAACTAATGAAGACAGCAGAAGTCCACGATTCACTTGAATTATTCAGCCTAATATGTTTACTTTCCTAAAATATTTGAAAAGTTTCTCAAAATAAATACATTGTTTAAAGGGGGAAAATGTTTGTTTTTTTACTCAGACATTTGAAAAGAATATGTTTTAGAGCATGTTTTATGCCTAGTCTCAGATAGATAGAGTTTTTCTTAAGTTTGTTTTTCTTTTAAACCAGGGGTCTCAAACTCAATTTACCTGGGGGCCGCAGGAGGCAAAGTCTGGGTGAGGCTGGGCCGCATAAGGGATTTCACAAAAAAAAAGTCCTCAAATGTCATTATTAACAGTTTTAATTATTTCTTCTGAACATGAAGTGTCCTGAACATTAATAGAACATTGAGTGAAGATTATGAACAGTTCTTCTGAACATGGCATCTTTTGCCTATTTCTTGCTGCCAGAGACTTGACAGCGCTTCTTCTCACAAATCTGAACCACATTTGGCTTTAGAGCGGAAGCAGTTGAGACCCTCAGTATGGCTTGAAGATGATCATCATTAAGTCTAGACCTGTACTTTGACTTATTGAAGTCCTAGGGAAAAAAGTGGGGGAACTCACTCAAAACTTCCATTCCCTCACCTAAAAAAAAGGCGTATATATGTATAAATAAAACACCCCCACCCCACTCCAGTCACATCAGTCTGTACCAGTCTGTATCTACCTATAATATCAATATATATAAGATGCAGGGCAGGCACGTGCACACATAGGGCTCAACCTGTGCAGAGCACATGCCCTTTTTAGTCTTGCATAGAAAGTGCCCATCCAAAATGATCAAAAGTGCCTCTGCGACGCGACACACATAGTCCCGCCCTTCAGTAGGGGCGCGATAACACCGCTCTTGAGTACGCGCGCGACAACACAGCTGATCAGAACGCGCGCGACAACGCGCATTGAGTGACAAGCGCGCTGTGTACGGATAGAATCAGCGGAGCGGGGAGCGCTCTCTCTCCCCGCTCCGCTGATTCTGTCAGAGTACAGCGGTCGGCGCGGGACACAAAATATTGCACTGAGGGCCGCAAATGGCCCGCGGGCCGCGAGTTTGAGACTCCTGTTTTAAACGATATTGGCGAAAATGGGCTAATGATAACTGTTTGTTTCAGAGTTTGTTTCTTTTATTAAACTACAATAGTCTGTTAAATTAGAATAAATAGTTATTATACAATTCTTTAAGCATCTATAGTACTAATATATGTATATAGAGTATAATACACAAATATACATTTATAATACCATTCAGATTAGACTTAATTAGTTTTCGTTTAAGTTGCAAAACCGGTGTTCAAGATTTCAGTATTTCCCTTTTCAGTCAGTCCAAGGCTCCTAGTTGTAATTTCTTCTATTTTTATGTTTTTTTTTTAGTCAGGTGACACTAATACCTGACGAAGCAGAGGATATGTGGCACACCTACAACCTACTGCAGGTGGGCGACAGCCTCAGAGCTTCAACCATCAGGTGGGTCTTAATTGTATCACACTGTATTTTATTTATTTTTTTGGTTTGGTTTAGCACATTTAGTATCAGAGATTTCACTTGTTTACTTAATAAAAATATTTCGATGTCACAAACAGGAAAGTGCAGACAGAGTCTTCCACGGGCAGTGTGGGCAGTTCACGTGTGCGCACCACATTGACTCTTTGTGTGGAAACCATAGACTTTGATTCCCAAGCCTGCCAGCTCAGAGTCAAAGGAACAAACATCCAGGAGAACCAATATGTGAAGGTCAGTATGCATTTAGATTTGTTTTCGTGACTTTGTAATTAACTTTAGCTCTCCCAGCATTTGATTGCAGTCCTGACCAATCATACAGTCAATATTGTGCTCCACTCTTTGTCCTACCTAAAAAAAAAACACCATATACATACATAAATATACATTTTTTTACATGAACCTGAAAATTGCAAACAAATTAGGTAATGTATAGTCTATTCTTATCCAAAAATTGTTTTCAAAATTGATCATGGGGACTTGGATTACCGAAATGTCACCATTTGCTTTCTATATTTAGCAATACCGCAATCTTTTGTTGTAATTGTAGGTATAGCACAAATAAAAGATTACAGTTTTGAATTATGTTTATACAGTCTTGCTCGTGTTTATATGATCTAAAATGACAGTTCGTTCGGTTATGTTCTTTTTGTTCTTATCTCCAAATGCAAGTGTAGGCTTCAATCATACTTATGCCTTGTTTTATTTAAGTTTGGATGTCGTTTTTTTAGTCATTTAAGTTTTAAATTACACTTACAACTTAAATATATGATTTAATAATAATATTATTATTTAAAATTAAGTTTTATATGCATATTGCAGACATTTTTGTCTAATTTCGTCTGAAATGATTGTCATTTTTCCAGAAATTATTTATTATTTTTTTTCTATGGGACTGCACAAATTAATTGTCAGTGACATGGCTGGTAGTAAAAACTTGTTGAACTTGGCAAAAAAAAAAATGTTTTAAATAACTGAGAAAATATATTTATAGCTAATATTCACCCTCACTTATCTTATGTTGTCATAGTAGAAATGTGAACGTTGCTTTAAAATGAGACATGTTGCTTCTATTGTGTCATATGTAGATGGGTGCCTATCATACCATAGAGCTGGAGCTCAACAGGAAGTTTACCCTCGCCAAAAAAGTCTGGGACAGCGTGGTGTTGGACAGAATTGGTAATGTGTTGGTGTGTTTTTGCTGCATTTTCTGACTGAATTAAACTAGTTTTGCTTGTACAAATTTTGCGTACTTTGTGAAAATGTCAATAAATAAAAAGTAAAATTATTTTGTTTAAAAAAATAATGATATAATATTTAGTGGCTCAAATAATTAGTTTATTTTACTTCTGGTAAACAAAGAGTGTTTTGTGAAGTCGTTCAGCTTTCTTTTGGGCACATAAAAATGCAGAGCAATCAGATCTATCAAGCTTTAAAAACAATTTGTCCTCGCTCTTTACATTTACTTAAAGCATAGGTCTCAAACTCGATTCCTGAAGGGCCGCAGCTCTGCACAGTTTTGCTTCAACCCTAATCAAACACAGCTGATCCAACAAATCAAGCTGTTCAAGACTAGCAGAGTAGACACTACTAGATCAGCTGTGTTTGATTAGGGTTGGAGAAAACTGTGCAGAGCTGCGGCCCTCCAGGAATTGAGATTGAGACCTATGACCTAAAGGCAAAGTTCATCCAAAAACTTTTGATTTACTCATTATTTACTGTAGTTCCAAATGCTTGTGTGTTGCTCTGCTGACTCTAATGCCAAAACATCATACTGCCTGTATTATACGCGCACCTTGGAAACATTGGTGAACAAAGTCATTCGAGTTTTTTTGGGGGGTGAACAAAGCCTTAAATTTTTTTTTTACGTGAAATACATTAAATTGACGCAATGCCTTAATAATTTCTAAACTTGCCTTTATTAAATCAACAGAGCAGGCATGTGATCCTGCTCAGAAAGCAGATGTGGCCGCTGTCGTGATGCAGGAAGGTCTGGCCAATCTGGTTCTTGTGACTCCAGCCATGACCTTACTAAGGGCGAAGGTTGAGGTCACCATCCCTCGCAAGAGGAAAGGCAGTTGCACTCAACATGACAAGGTGAACCAAACTTCTTTTTCTGTGTCATAAATAGTTTTTATGTATTCCATAATTTTTTTTACAGGCAGGGCTGCACAATTAATCAAAAAAAGGTTGCGATCTCGATCCTACACACAATCTCAATTCAGCTTTTCTACCAGTTATATTTTCATGGTGAGGAGAGAAGCTTAAAGGCGGTTGCACAAATCTTCATATTGTTTTACATACTTTACTCAGCAACATGGACACCTCCAAATGGCATAAATGTGTCACACACTGCATCTACAAGGTATAATTCACCCAAAAATGTTGTTACTGTCATAATGCAATGACGTATTTGCGGCTAAGAAATGACCCCTAATCTGACGAATCTGATGTTTACTACTGATAGGACACTAGCCCGCCAATGATGTTAACTTTAGTGAACAAAACCTGCATAGAGTGTGAATAACAGGTAATAAAGTTGTAAACAGCGTTCAGTTTGTTGCACAGAGTGGTCATTTGGGAGCTGCGGAGAAGGTATGATTAGATTGTATGTTTTTTTTTTTTTTTGAATATTATAATCCAACTTTAGAATTATGAATGGTTGTATTCTGATGTCATCACACTGTGCATTAATGACCAGGACATATTTATGTCTGTTTAAGTCCACCATTCCAAGTCTATACCGAATTAAGCATTTTAACCAACATTAGACCTACACATAGGCCTTATATTGTTGTTTTACCATATGTTTCACAAATAACAAAAATAATAGCCTATTCGTATTAACCTTTATTTTAATGTCTACACAATCGTGAGAAAATTGTGATTCTTGATTTTAAGCAAAAAAAAAAAATATATGATTCTAATTTTAGCCAGAATTGTGCAGCCCAACTGTAAGGTCTCAATTCTACACATTAGCTGTTCTAATGTCAATCCGGTCACATTGACCTATGAAGGGTCCTCATTGCTGAACATTTTCATTTTTTCAGATATTTATAACCTTACTCAGACCTCCTTATTCTGTTAATGCTACTGCATTATTATGATGTTTTTTAAGTCCAAGTTTTTCTTTAATCAATAAGATGTTACTTGCTTTTATGAAACAGTTCTTGTTACAAAAGATGTCTCTCAGTATTTGCATATCTCAAAATAAGATGCTTGTTGCATACTAACACTGTGTTCTCTTTCAGGCATTGGAGCGATTTTATGAGGCTGTAATGCAGGGCATTCTGAGACACTTCAACTTTGATGGTATCATTATTATTATAACTTATTAATAATGAAGATAGAAAGTGGATAAACAAACACGGGCATTTGACTGTATTTGTGTTTTTCAGTGGTGAAGTGTATTCTGGTGGCCAGTCCAGGTTTTGTGAAAGATCAGTTCATCTCGTACCTCTTTAAAGAGGCTGTGAGACAAGACTGCAAACTTCTTTTGGAGAACAGATCCAAGTTCATGGTGGTTCATTCCTCGTCCGGACACAAGTATTCTCTCAAAGGTATATTCAAATTTCATTTTAAATTGATTGATTGATTGATTCATTTTCTTTTCAGCTAAGTCCCTTTATTAATCAGGGCTGAAAGAAGATGACAACTTTATGAGAATGAAGATATTAGTGTTATCTACCAGTAAGAAATTAGCCGGTTTGTTGATTTGTGTGATAAAAATAAGCTAAAAATAAATACTAAGAAAACTGAAGAGATGGTATTTGACCCAAAGTATAGGTGACCATCATCAAGTGATTGTACATGACCTTCTTATCACTCAGTCAGAGACCTATAAGCACTTGGGCATTTACCTTGATAGTTCTTTTACATGAAAAACACACAGAGTGTGTAGATTGTATTTTTTTTTACAGAGGTTACATCTTTTTTTGGAGTTAAAAGAAGCTTATGATGCTGTTTTATGAAGCTGTTCTGGAAAGCATTGTTAGATATGGTATCACAGTGTGAGATCTGTGTACAGATCTATCTGTACAGTGTAAATCTAAGTTTATGGATTTCTTAAGGACAGGATGGAAAATTGTTGGGCATGATGAATATTTTAATTCTCAAGTTTTATATGAGAATTGTGTCCTCAGTTTGGTGGAAAGGATTCTGAATGATCCAATTCATTGTTTTGTTTCCACATTATGAACTACTTCCGTCTGGTAGGAGATATAGAGTCCTAAAGTGTAGGTTGAACAAATATAAGAGAGCCTTCTTGCTGTGAGGCGACAGCCCTGCCCACTGCGCCTCAGCACCGCCTGTTTTTATTTTATATTGATATAAAATATAAATGATTAATGTCTGTGTGAAATCAAAGTTTACTGTGTATATTTGGCTAGCTCACATTATTATTTTTTAAGGTAAATCATTAATCTGTGCAAGTTAATACACTGAAATTTTTTATTTTGTTTTTTGGTAATATTCAATGAAAGTTTGACCCTTTCGCTTATGGAGTTGCGGTCCTTCAGTTCACTTCAACCTGAGGGTCTCCATAGCAACTACATATTAATACCCTCTCTAAAGATTTTTGCACACTGAAGTCCAAAATTTTAGTATGTGTTTTTTTTCGTATTTAAAAGCGAAAAATTCCTTGCACACTGAGCCTGATACGTATTAATTAATCCATTATGAAAACATTTTAAACATTTTCGGAGTCAGTTTTAGCAGTGATACTTTTTTTTCTCTCTCTTCTCCAAAGTAGAAAAAGGAATTGGCAGCATATTGTGTTCATCTAATATTGGATGGAAAGGAAGGAGAGTTCAGCCCATTATCAAAGAGCTGCGCTGAATTATCCCGAAATGCAAAGTTTATTTCTTGAAATCAGTGGAATTTTGATAGATTGCTTGTGATTCTTCACACATTCACATACATAAACAGATCCTGAACAGAGATTGGCAGTATGCTTGGAAATTATAATAGATGGCACATTGACGTGTTGAAGCAACGGACCGGAAAGTGGATATATTATATTATATCTTAGGGCAATACTTCAAATGTATGGACATACACGCACACACGCCAAACAGCAGCAGGGCAGAGGTGCGCCAGTCACTGAATCCAGCATATAGGCCAGGGGTCACAAATCTTGTATATGGAGGTCCGGTGCCCTGCAGGGTTTAGCTCCAACTTGCCTCAACACAGCTGCCTAGGTGTTTCAAGTATACCTAGTAAGACCTTGATTAGCTTGTTCAGGTATGTTTGATTAGGGTTGGAGCTAAAATCTGCAGGATACCGAACCTCCAGGAACAAGTTTGGTGATCCCTGATATAGGGGTTCTGAACTATCTGCTACATTTTGTCATTTTATGCACTGTGTTTGTCATAAAGTTATCTGTTACTCAAATGACAGCAGTCTGTATTTAGCTTTTTGCTTGTAGAGTAGCTGTTTTCATCCACCTATTTTTATGTGCATTTTGGATATGCGCATAAAAAAAAAAAGGTTGATGGAAACGGCAAGATGCGCATAAATTTTGAAAATGTGCATACAAAACATATGCGCATAAGTGAGTAGGATAAACATTTTATTCGATAAGAAAATATGTGCATAAACTAAGATGGAAACACTTTTACCGCACAAATTTCAGTATGCGCATGTGATTATTGTTATAAGAGATCATGTGTTGATAAAAAAGTGTGTAAATAGACAAATCATTTGAAAAGTTGTTTTGTTTGTTCTAAATTGTCGTAACCATTTCAGTATTAGTGTTATTACATTATTAATTACCTCCAGAACTGTCAAAAGTGTCTGTGCCCCCAATTTCACGCATTCAAACACCACCATTTGTTCAATGCGCGTCGGCATCGTCTTCTGAAGCGCAAGCCATTTATTAAATTAGTAAAAGATTGACGCAGCTTCTACCGTAGCAAATATCGTTTTTACTGTAGATATTTGCCTCCAGTTAATCTGGAAGTGACAATTTTTGTTCTCTTTGACTGTTTGGATAGAAACACTGCTTTATTCACACGTCTTTGTTGTGAAATTCCAGTTTTGCTCATGAAATTGATTTGAATATTTGGATGGAAACATAGCTGGTGGCTCTGAACTGTCAAAACACTCTCAAAGTGCTTTTTCGGATGCGAAAAGTGGAAAAAAATCAAACCCGGTTCGATTTTATAATGGACAAAAGTTTTGGAGGCATTGTGTCAATACGATTCACACAACATGAGGTTGAATTAATTGGTCATCCTTTATTTTGATGGTCAGTTTGTTAACTTTAAGTTACATTGCATCTACATGCTAACTAATTCTCATTAAATTACAAGTAGACTGTAAGGTTGGGGTTAGAGTTAGTGTAAGTTGACATGTACTTGCAAACTTTCTTATAGTCAGTCAAATGTCTGTTGAATATCTGTATCAAAACTGTATCAACTGTATCTTCTAATACTCAAATGGGCCATCAAGTGTTACCAATTAAATTTTTAACGTACAAAAACCGATTCAAGCCTCATTCACATGACGAGGAACAAGCAACCGTTTATTTCAACGGAGAGTGAGCGACTTCCGGCGACCTTCGTCTACGCGAGTGACCGCTGGCAAACAGGTGGGCGTGTCTAGTGACAAAACAAAGTTGAGAATCCTTCAACTTTATGCAAATGAAGAGCGACTTTTTTTGAGCGACAACCAGTAGGAGCACCAGTAGAGCTCATGTCATCTTTCTTCAGCTCGCTTAGAGGCCGTTTGTATTCTCCGTGCTGGAGACCTACACAGACCTGCTAGTGTGAATGAGGCATCAGTGTGCAATAACTTTTACCGTTAGTTTGTTATGAGGGAATGATGCACAAAAGAAAACCCAGCCCCCTACTTTATTATTTCATTAGTTTTGAGTGCATCCACATAAAGAAGTCTCAGCATCTTCCAGTTCACATGGATTTTAAATATTATCTTTATTAAGAAATACATTTTAAAAGTGTATTAACTTATATGTTTATTTGTGTTTCCATTTATAAATCAGTTTAAGGTTTATGGGACAGCAAGATGGCGCAGTGGGTAGCATGCAAGTGTGCCGCAAGCCTGCGTTTGAGTGAAGGTCTCGGCCGTTAGATCGCCCCCTGGGGGCTGGCTGCAGTACAAGTCATAAAGCCCGCCTTCTCCGTGTTAATGAAGGAGACTTGAGCCCAAATAAGAAAATTAATTACACTTGCAATAAAATGTCCCGAAAGATGGTTCTGGTCGATTAAGGCACTGGTTATTGTGCTGAAATAGGTGCAGATCTTCATTTTTGTAAACAGTTTGTTTTTAGCAGTAATTTAATGCTGGGCGTGTCATCGTGATTGAGAGCTGTGATTGACAGTTTCTTAAAGCAGCGCGTCTGAGCTTCGGCAGAAGACTGAAGTGTTATTATTCGATTTCTGTGTTATTTCACCATGACAAAATGAGTTCAGCAGTAAACTACAGTTTCTGACATACATGATCCTGGTGGAACACTGTTTATTCGCTAAGGTCAGGGCTTTTTTCGGGCTTTTTTAGTTTGCTAATACACGCCTAGCCACCCAGATAGCAAAATACACTCGGGCCAGTTCCGGTTAGATTCTCGCCTGTCGGAGACTTACCCATCAGAGCTCAGACTGACTACCTCTGCTGGACCTACTCCGGATGCCTGGACTTACTGCCCGATTCCAGCCCGAGTCAATCGAGCCAGATGCGGCGGCCGAGCGAGCTGGCGCTGCCGCATGCGAGCCGGAATCAGCCCGTGACGCCGAGAGTAGGTTATGCGCTGCGGCCCAGAGCCGGCACGATTGAATATATAAAACCCTCATATTTGTTAACGTTATTACATCCATTTGTGTTGATATGACAGCAAACGCATGCTGAGAAGTTCGGGGGGCGTGGTTGATTTTACATAAAGCGTTTGGTTGGAAGCTCGACTCATTTTCGCAGCTCCTCCTCTGGCTCCATCAGACAGTCCTTCTGCGCATGTCAAGGCTCCAATTTCAGCAGTCTTTTGCGACAGTTTGTGCCCGTCAAGCAGGCGTTTTGCCCTCAAGGCGTTCAATGGTAAAAGGGGCTGTCGCGTCGTCCATATTTTTTACAGTCATTGGTAGCATGATTACCTCACAGCAAGAAGGCCGCTGGTTTGAGCCTCGGCTGGTTCAGTTGGCATTTCTGTGTGGAGTTTGCTTGTTCTCCACGTGTTCCTGTCGGTTTGCTCACAAGTTCAGAAGCATGTGCTAAATTGTCCATAGTATATGTGTGCGAATGAGTGTGTCTGGTTGTTTCCCAGTGATGGGTTGCAGCTGGAAGGGCATCCGCTGCGTAAAACACATGCTGGATAAGTTGGCGGTTCATTCTGCTGTGGCGACCCCTGATTAATAAAGGGACTATGCCGATAAGAAAATAAATGAATGCTTAAAGTTTATTTTTAGAAACATATTTTATAAAGTTTCAATGTGCGATGTTTGCTTTTTATAGAGGTGCTGTGTGATCCAGCAGTCACGGCTCGATTATCTGACACCAAGGTGACTAGGTTTAGTTTGTACAATTGCAAATATAACTTCTGGCTTTCTGCAAGCACAGGGTGGGGTTTATTACTGTGTGATATTTGTTTTCTGTATTAGGCAGCTGGAGAGGTCAAGGCTTTGGAGGACTTTTACAAGATGCTTCAACAGGAGCCGGATCGAGCTTTCTACGGGTGATCACAATCTATCATTTAAATGAGCAACTCTTATCAGTAGTACACTCAACCTTAATAAGGATAACTTTTGTGTGTGTGTTTTTTTAATCAGTGTAACTTATTATTTATGAGATATTTGCATTCATTTTGGTTTTCTACAGGTTGGCTCATGTGGAAAGAGCAAGTGAAGCTTTGGCCATTGATATCCTGCTGATCAGTGACACACTATTCAGGTACTTTTAAAAATCCCTATTAAATGTTCTGTTTATAAATGTATTGTCTTGTTTATTGTGTACTTAAAGGGATAGTACACCCAAAATGAAAATGTACTCTCTATTTACACACCCTCAAGTGGTTTCAAATCTGGTACACAAAAAAAGAAATTTATAAGAAAACTAAAAACATGTAACCATTGACTTTCATATTTCTTTTTCCTACTATAGAGGTCAGTGGTTACGGGTTTTTTACCACTTGAGCATGAGTAAATAGAAAGTAAACATTCTTTTTTGGTTAAACTATGGTGGGTGAATTTGCAATTAATTGCTAAAGCTTTTATCATAATAAATGATATTATCACTATACCTTACAATACTTATCGCAACTACGTTGAAAGGTATAATTACCAAACATTACCTAGTGTTTTGATTTATTGCATATACTTGGTTATATTTAATTGCAAAAGGATGATAAAGTGCTATAGGTAACACAGTTTCATTGGTAATCATTAGGTAATGCACTACAATCAACAATAAGAAATGGCCGTATTATAGTTATATGTTAAAGTTAATAATAAATATAACTTAATTAGTTATTAACTTCATTTATTAAAACTAGAATTTCTCACTTTATTTTCTTAGTTTAAACTAAGATCACCTAAGATTAATAAATGTTTTTGTAGTTGTCATTGCATTGACTTTAAATTAACTGATGTTAAAACATTTAACTGTACTGTACAGAGTTAATGAACAAAAAGCCTATAAAAAGTCAATGAATTTTCAATTTCGTTGGTCAGATTAACATAAACATGTTAATGTTTGAAAATAAATCTTCTATTAAGTCTTCCAGCATTTGGTGGTGTGAAAAACAACCACTGCAAATAGAATCTGACTATTCTTTAAAGCACTCTAAAAATTGAAATCTCAAATAATTACTTGGTAGAGTAGTTTGTGCCCACAATATTAATATCACGCAAGTTCATAAACACGATATATTGAATATATGAATATCAGCGTACAGTGTTCAGCATATACAAATACACAACTCCCAAATCTATCTTTTAAATTCATATTTTTAATAGGAATCTATACAATATTATAATTGTATATATACTAGATTAGTCAGTACTGAAGTCAAATCTAGAGCTTATCTAACAAAATAACTTATGATAACAGTCCAAAAACTAGTACACCCACATTTATGTTATAGAAAAATATTAAATACAAATTAAAAAAAGAGGGAAAATAAAGAGAAGAAAAATGTAAAAATTTAGTTGAAATTTTGTAAGTTGTAATTGTTTTTACGTTATTTTGCTTGAATTGAATTGTATTATCTTTTCATTTCTAAATATGTTTGGTGATTAAAATATTATTTGTATAAATATATTTGTTTTAAAAATCTGTTTTGTTTAAATGCACGACAATACATTGCTTACATTCACCGAGAAATGGATACAAATATTCATTTTCAAAATGGGATGTACTCAAATATTTGCTTAGCACTGTATGTCTACAGTCATGGCCAAAAGTTTTGAGAATTACGTAAATATTGGAAATTGGAAAAGTTGCTGCTTAAGTTTTTATAATAGCCATTTGCATATACTCCAGAATGTTATGAAGAGTGATCAGATGAATTGCATAGTCCTTCTTTGCCATGAAAATTAACTTAATCCTGAAAAAAACTTTCCACTGCATTTTATTGCTGTCATTAAAGGACCTGCTGAGATCATTTCAGTTATCGCCTTGTTAACTTTGAGAATGTTGACAAGAACAAGGCTAGAGATCATTATGTCAGGCTAATTGGGTTAAAATGGAAGACTTGACATGTTAAAAGGAGGGTGATGCTTGAAATCATTGTTCTTCCATTGTTAACCATGTGACTTGCAAAGAAACGCGTGCAGCCATCATTGCGTTGCATAAAAATGGCTTCAAAGGCAAGAATATTGTGGCTACTAAGATTGCACCTGAATCAACAATTTATAGAATCATCAAGAACTTCAAGGAAAGAGGTTTAATTCTTGTAAAGAAGGCTTCAGGCGACCAAGAAAGTCCAGAAAGTTCCAGGATCGTCTCCTAAAGAGGATTCAGCTGAGGGATCGGAGTGCCACCAGTGCAGAGCTTGCTCAGGAATGGCAGCAGGCAGGTGTGAGCTCATCTGCACGCACAGTGAGGCGAAGACTTTTGGAAGATGGCCTGTTGTCAAGAAGGGCAGCAAAGAAGCCACTTCTCTCCAAGAAAACATCAGGGACAGAATAATCTTTTGCAAAAAAGTATGGAGTGGACTGCTGAGGACTGGGGCAAAGTCATATTCTCTGATGAAGCCCCTTTAAAATAGTTTGGGGCATCTGGAAAAACGCTTGTCCGGAGAAGAAAAGGTGAACGCTACCATCAGTCCTGTGTCATGCCAACAGTAAAGCATCCCGAGACCAATCGTGTGGGGTTGCTTCTCATCCAAGGAAGTGGGCTGACTCGAAATTTTGCCCAAAAACACAGCCATGAATAAATAATAGTACCAAAACACCCTCCAAAAGCAACTTCTTCCAACAATCCAACAACAGTTTGGTAAAGAACAATGCATTTTTCAGCACGATGGAGCACCGTGCCATAAGGCAAAAGTGATATCTAAGTAGCTCAGGGACCAAAACGTTGAAATTTTGGGTCCATAGCCTGGAAACTCCCCAGATCCTAATCCCATTGAGAATTTGTGGTCAATCCTTAAGAGGCGGGAGGACAAACAAAAACCCACTAATTCTGACAAACTCCTAGAAGGAATTATGAAAGAATGGGTTGCCATCAGTCAGGATTTGGCCCAGAAGTTGATTGAGAGCAAGCCCAGTCGAATTACAGAGGTCCTGAAAAAGAAGGGCCAACACTGCAAATACTGACTCTTTGCATAAATGTCATGTAATTGTTGATAAAAGCCTTTGAAACATATGAAGTGCTTGTAATTATGTTTCAGTACATCACAGAAACAACTGAAACAAAGATCTAAAAGCAGTTTAGCAGCAAACTTTTTGAAAACTAATATTTGTGTCATTCTCAAAACCTTTGGCCATGAATGTAGTACTTAAAACAGAAAAATATTTGTTTTGTTTATGACAGACATCAAGATGTTGCCACCCGTGGCCGGTATGTCCGGCTTGTGGACAACGTGAAAGAAAATGGAGGAACTGTCAGGTATTAACATATGACTTTTTTGGTCAAGAAAGGTCCATTTTTGAATGATTTCTGTTGTGTAAAATTTATTTTTTCCCTTCTGTTTAAGAATATTCTCAAGCCTGCACGTGTCTGGAGAACGTAAGTTTCTTCTTCAGAGTATTGTTTCGGAGAGTTGTATCAGTTATCATCACTGACATGGATTTGTCTCTTCAGAGTTGAATCAGCTGAGTGGAGTGGCAGCCATCTTGAGGTTTCCCATCGCTGACGTATCTGAGCCTGAAGAGAACAGCAGCTCTGACGAAGACTGACACTAAATGTGCGCAAGGATTTGAGAAGAAAGGTCACAAGTGCATTACATTTTGGACTAAACGAAATGAAAATGCATCATGGTCTTAATAAAGGATTTAAAACCAGTTTAAACTTTACAGGAAATTAATAGATATGGTTATTTAGAGCAGTGTTTCTCATCCACGTTCCTGGAGGACCATCAACACTGCATGTTTTAGACATCTCCTTTGCCTCTCACATCTGTTACAGGTATTTTAGTCACTGCAAACGAGCTGATATTCTGAATTAGGTGTGTTTGGTTAAGAAGACATACAAAATGTGCAGAGCTGGTGGTCCTTCAGGAATGTGGCTGAGAAACCCTGATTTAGAGTAGTCATTAAACTAAAGCTGGCCAAAACTTTGACTATTAAACATGCTGAACCTTTATAGTGTGATACCTTAAATAGTTATATCATTAAAGATGCATAAATCCACACAGAAAAAAAGTTACTTCTGCCTTAGAAACAATATTTAGGTGTACATAATCGCAACAAAGTTTCAGAAGATACTTTTCTTTGCCAATCAGTATGGATTCAGTATGATTTCATTAATGATTTCGGATAAAGTTTGTTTATACAAGTCAGATTCACTTTTTCATTTGCATACATGTTGCATGTATTTCAAACAAAACAATAACTTTATTATAGTGCCCAGTCATTGCATAAATAAAAGCATATATTAGTTCCCCTTGTTGCTCATTTGCACCCAGAAACTGATGCATGACGTCAGAGTTAACAAGTAGATTATCCTCTGAATGAAGATAAGTTGGACATGAGCCAAATCAATAAAACACTTAAAGGGGTGGTCCACTATGATGTCATATTTAAAATTTTATTTAATGTGTAATGTAGCTGTGTGAACAAACATCTCTAAATGTCATTTGCTTAACATTCAATGCAAAGGGAGAGACTTGGCTTTTACAGAGTTAGCTTACAGTGAACAAAGTTAGGGGACTACAAAAAAATACATCCAAGCTAGGGAGATCACAAATGCTTTGGGTTATGTGCATTCACCACACACATATACCCCGGACAGAAAAGAGGCACTATTGTTATAGCAGAGAAAGCTAAAATGCCGTTCAAACGCTGCTATTTCCATGAAGCTTGTTCTGTTTCTGTATTTGGGGTTCCAAAGGACATGACACGAAGAGAGACGTGCTTACAGTTAAATTTTAATTCATTCATTCATTCATTTTCTTGTCGGCTTAATTCCTTTATTAATCCGGGGTCGCCACAGCAGAATGAACCGCCAACTTATCCAGCAAGTTTTTACGCAGTGGATGCCCTTCCAGCCGCAACCCATCTCTGGGAAATATCCACACACTCACACTACGGGCAATTTAGCCTACCCAATTAACTTGTACCGCATGTCTTTGGACTGTGGGGGAAACCGGAGCACCCAGAGGAAACCCACGCGAACACAGGGAGAACATGCAAACTCCACACAGAAAAGCCAACTGAGCCAAGGCTTGAACCAGCGACTTTCTTGCTGTGAGGCAACAGCACTACCTACTGCGCCACTGCTTCGCCCTAATTTGAATTATGTTCCAGAGAATAATAAAAAATGTAAATAGCCATAATTTGACAAAGAATAGCTTCCGGAATCTCCCAGTTCAGTGCTGATTTCTGCGAAAACTCCTCAATAAAGGAGCAGCTCCAGTCATGGTAGACAAAGCTGTAGATTGTGAGCCCCAACCTGTAAGAATTTTTATTTGTTAAAAATAATCTATTACATGTGTAGTGTCTAGCGTTAATAGTATATTTTAGCAAGGACGTAAACTACAGGAAATGCTGTTTGGCACCGCTAACAATTTAGCTTTCATATTTATCAGGCAAACCCCTGCAAACACACACAATCTTTACCGGCGCTGCAGTGTCTCTCTATGCAGCTGCTTTCCTTACGTTCTACATCTCAAATAATGAACTCTCGAAAGGTATGTGAACGTCATTTCTTATAACTGCTTATTCCAAATATATGTCGAAGACATTTGTCACATTTTACTATAGAGAGCAGACGTGAGGTTCAGTTGTGTCCTTTTCATTTTCTGTTTGATTAAGGCTCAAACTGATACGGCTAACAGCTACTCTGACTGATAGTATTTACAAGGCGCAAAAGCATGTGATTCTTTTCCTGGTCATGTGGAGCCGATCCGCTAATCACAGCACATGGTGATAGCTGACCATCCAGAGCAGGGATGTGAAACTCAATTCCTGGTTGGCCGCAGCCCTTCACAGTTTAGTTCCAACCCTGCTTCAACACACTTACCTGTAGGTTTCAAACAAGCCTGAAGGACTCAATTAGTTTGATCAGCTGTGTTTAATTAGGGTTGGAACTAAACTGTGCTGGGCGGCGGCCCTCCAGGAATTGAGTTTGACAATCCTGATCCAGAGCCTCTGTCGGGCGGGCCTTTCGAAGGAAATAAAAAATATGACAGTTGTTTTCATGTTAGCTGAGTATCATATATAATCAAAGTAAGATATATATATATATATCCCCTCAAAAGATAAGGTGTCTTAAATGTATTATGTTTTAATCTGATGGTAAGTTTTATAAAGGGAATGGACAGGCAGATTTCTCATTTGTGACAGCAGTGGACCTCTGCATTTACTCCTCTCAGCAAACCTCAGATCTCAGCACACGAACAAAGAAAAAGTCACCATTGGTATGTGTACATGAGTGTCAGCAATGATATAATCTTGATGAATCTGGACATTACTTTCATTTTCTCTGTGTCCATCTGCACATTTGGGTTATTTCACATATGCAGGCATGATGGTCATTTCTAATGTTCGTTTTAATAAAATATCAATTTCTCTTGTCACATGGAAATTAAAAACATCCTCCACACACACTTAGATATAAAGGATGATTTTAACATCAATACTGTGATGAATTTAAGAAAATAATAATGAGGAAAATGAAAGGTTTGAGGCTCCAGAAATCATTCAAAAGTATTCTGAATTAAGACCCTGAATTGTTTATACCTTTGGTTTAGTTTCTTGGTTCAAAGTCAAACAAAGACTATGTGCTCCTGCTTTTCTTAGCATTCAGACTTAATAATACAGATTTATTTTATTTAAACTTTTTTTTTTTGTTGATGTAAGTTTGCAGTGCAATTTACCTAATATCCAACACAATGCTGTTTGTTTATTTTTTCTTAAAAGTCAGACCATAAAACCCCTATCATTACCGTTCAAAATGTCTGTCTGTTTATCTATCTATCCATCTATCCATCTATCTATCTATCTATCTATCTATCTATCTATCTATCTATTCGTTTACAATTAGGTGTAGGGTATTCGTATTTGTTCCCACCACCGCCCCCTTTCACTTGGATACACACCTGCTGTACATACCTATGCCCACCACAACCCTCTTCCCTTTAGGACATCTATCTTTCAACCTACCTAAAGTATCTACCTATACCTACCTAACTATGCCCACCACCACCACCTTCCACTTGGAATGACATCTATCTTTTAACCTACCTAGAACTTAATTACATTGGCCTAGGCCTACATGGAATCTGCACGCACAGAAATCTGCAGTTTTTTAGCACATCATTGAGTCTACTTATGCACTTGTGTAAATGTGTGTAAATTTATACTTATTCACTTTTTAAATTAATTTCAGTAATATTATTGACTAATATGAAAGTGTTCATTTGATATATTTACAATACAGTTTGTAAAGTAATGTTTTCTGTCTTTAAGTAGATTTATGAGAAACTTGCTTTGTCTATTAAATAAGTGAATCTAGATGGATTTGCATGGTAAACAAAGTTAAAAAGCTTTTTTACATATAGGAAGTTTTTAGTTTCACACTCTCAAAATAATTCTGCATAAATCTGCAGTTTTTTTTTTTTTTTTTTTTTACAAAATTTTCCATAGAAATACCAAAAAATGTCCGCAGATTCTGTCTGGCCCACCACCACCCCCTTCCACTTTGAAGGACATATCTTTTAAATAACTACCTTCCTACCCCCACCACCACCCACTTCCATTTGGAAGGATATCTTTTGACCTACCTATTTACAGTTGAAGTCAAAATTACTAGTCCTCCTCTCTTTATTTTTTTCTTTTTCAAATATTTCCCAAATGATGTTTAACAGAGCAATGATTTTTTTCACAGTATTTCTATACGATTTTTTTCTTTTGGAGAAAGTATATTTGTTTTATCTCAGCTAGAATAAAAGCAGTTTTTAAAAAAAAGCGATATATTTTTAGACTGTTTACAGAACAAACCGCTGTTATACAATGACTTGCCTAATTACCCTAACTTGCCTAGTTAACCTAATTAACCTAGTTAAGCCTTTAACTTGCACTTAAAGCTGAATAGTATCTTGAAAATATCTAAAAAAAATATTATGTACTGTCACCGTGGCAATGATAAAAAATCTATTATTAGAAATGAGTTATTAAAACTATTATGTTTAGAAATGTGTTGAAAAAAGAATCTTCTTTCCGTTAAACAGAAATTGTGGAAAAAACATACAGGCAGGCTAATACAGGAGTACCTACACGTACCTACCTGACTTCAACCATATAACTACCTACGCCCACCACCACCCTCTTTCTCTTTAAGGACAGCTGCTTATTTATAGGTCTATTTGTGATGTACATCGAACGTTCGCAGATTCTAAGAACCCTCTGGTTCACCTTGAGTATTACTTAACCTCAATACAGATATGAAAATTAATATATTTAATATTCATGCAGGATAATTGCAAATTTTGTATTTATTAATTATTATTAATATTTATTATTGTTGTTATTACTTTGAGAATAGTAAACAAGTTCTTTTTTTAAATTAATCATGTAACAAAAAATAGTTAATCACTAACGATTTTTTTAAAAACTTGAAGGGAAATATAATTAGTACTAAATTGGTTTAAGAAAAGACCCTTACTTTGTTTATTTTATTCTATTCTATATTTTTGAGCCATATATTTAAAAAATAAAATAAAAACGATGAAAAACTCAACAAACAACATATTAACTGTAGGCAGCCTAGTTAAACATGCCTTGTTTACATTTTTAGCAAGTGAAGTAAAGAAATAACACCTGTTATATGTTTATATATAAAA